TTGTGTCCCTCTTTCATTTTGCTTTGCTTTGGGGTCAAATCAATAGCGAAAAAATGATTATAACTACATGCAACTTTTAGTTCAATGAAAATGAACCAAACTGCTTGGGAGGCATTGCCTTCATTTGATTGATATATGGTTTAAATTTATAAAGCATCCTGTAAAGAAATTCAGAATAAAAAGGATTTTGATTTATTTCTCAACTTTTCCTGCCACCTAATCCTTTGATTATCATTCTTATTAGAGCCTGGGTGCTGAGAAAGATGGTCTTGACATTGTCCAACATGAGTGGGCACTCCCCAAGTTTGAGCATCGAGCTGAAGCAGTGTTGAAAAAACTCATCAGGTGAACACCTTTGGAACATATAAAACAGTCGTCAGAAGAGGTTGGTTTGAGGTGAAGTTTTCCTAAAAGATGAAATACCTTTAGAAACCATGTTCTAGGCTTAGACTCAAGAAAAACTTGCACCACAATTTTTTATGCCTTTGTCCACTGACTCAGTTTCCTGTGAGATTATAACTAAAGAACTAATAACCGTCATCATGTTGTCCGAATTCTTTTAAGAACCAAATCATTATTGTTGCATTCGGCTGACTTTATACCGGTGATCCGAAACTTTAGATACTTAATAATATGATTATCTTGTTGGCCCATACCAGGTAAAAATGATCAGCTCGTTGCCAGCAGAAACCTTTAACAGGCCTCGGTTATTATTTGTTTGCAGCAAGCAAAAGCAATTTCATTTCACTGCCATTAACGTTTGAGCATCGGTCCTGTTGATGGCCACTCCTCGTGGCTTTCTGAAAGCAACAGCCCAGAGGCCACATAAAGACCGAACATTTTCATTGAGTAGCGTAAAAACCAAATTTAATCATTCACGTAATCAAACCCGAATAATGGAGTGATCAAATATAGATTGATTGACTACACTAGCTGACGGCACAAGCTTGTTTGATGAATTCAAGTTTAACTAATTTTTTGACTGCTATTTGTTTTGGTTAATAGCTAATGTTATTAATACTGGCGTAATAAAGTGGAAGATGCTGGTGGTCCTAGCAGTTAGGCCTAACTAGGGCTGTAAATGAGACGAGACAGATCGCGAGCTACTCGAGATCGATTCGATCAAGGTTCGATAAATACTCGAATCGAATGGACTCGACTCGAGTTCTTAACGAGTCTAAACGAGCTACTCGATATTCGACTCGAAAAGCTCGTGAGCAGCTCGAAAAAATGTTATATTATAATTTTAGATTTTTTAAATTACATTATTAAAAATACACTATTGATAATTATAAAAATTTAAAAATATATTAAAAATTATATAATACAACTATCTTCAAATTTTAATTAATGTCTTTGCAATAAACCTTAAACTATAAACCATAAATCATAAACTATATACCTTAAACCTTAAATCTAAATCTGATTATGTGATAGAAGTTAAGTTATGCACATGAAGGTAACATACAAATTATGCAAAATGATGTTATGTGACTGTTAAATAAATAAATCGCATATTTATACATAAATATATCAACATAAAAAATAAATATACACAACTAATTAAAGAAAAAAATCCTAAACAGAGACTAAATCAAGATAAATCTAGTGGTGAGGACTAATTTAAGCTAAATATACTAACTTTAGAATGATGATTAAATTCATGTAAATGTAAAATTAAACTTACAAAATTAGAATTAAACCAATGACTTAAATACAAAATGCGCATAAACTATAGGGTCTTATATGCAATTGATCATATTCGGTTTAAGCTAAAATAATATGGAAAATAACATAAATGACACCTGAACATTTAAAACAAATAAGAAAATTTAAACAAATGTGATTGAAATACAAACTGAATTCTCTTTTCTTCATTTTCATGAAGGGATGTCAGCTTCATATCTTTTAGAAAGCCCTGGAACCAATAACTATACCATCAACTTGCCAACTTCTGACATGAACGAGTGAGAATTTTCCTCTCTTGTTTGAAACTATGGTTTCGTTGCCAGGATTTCAAATCTTAAGCTACTTGATGTAAATGAGTTTTACGTGCAGGGGTTATGAGGTGAGGGAGGCATTAAGGGCACAGATGGAAGTACAGAGTAAATTACATTTGCAAGTTGAGGTAATCTTTTTCTTCCTTTTGTAGTTATTTCCTTGTTATGAATGTAGCTATGAAGTAACTAAAAGTGTTGCAGTGCATATTAAATGTTTCTGGGGTCTTGTCCAATTCCATAGTTTCTCTGATATGGAGAAACTTGTTATGAGGCTTATATAATTGATTGATTGTAGGAAAACCCTACTCAATATGTTTGATAGAACCCTCCAGATCAGAGTGTGAAGACCATCGTCAAGCTGGCTAATGTTATTATGTGTCCTATATAGGCTGAAAAACACTTGCAGATTTGCTAGGATGCTTGCTGATCATTTTATTCGGAAGTGTTGAAGTTATCAAAACAGATAACCTGGACGTTGGTAATAAGATGCTGAGAAATTATTCAGTGGATCCACTTGGATTTTACTCTGCCCAATCTGCTGAGGTCGTGAATGCATGTGGCCAAGAAGAAGATATGCCAACTGGTCTGCTTTTTCAGAGGGTTGATGGTTCTACCGAAAGCTGCCTTACTTCACAGGAGAGTCCAGGAGGATTGACAATGGAAGGATCTCTTGTTGGAGGGAAGAAAAAGATGCTTAACTTGGAGGGAACAACATGATATGTGATTTGGAGTGATGCGGTTGAAAAAAGAACACATGGGGAATTGTATGGAGAAGACATTCAGATCAAAGCAGCAAGTGGAAGAAAGAATAAATAGAAGAGATTCGTGAAGCTAAGGAAAATGGAGGAAAAGGCAGCATGAAGGTGAAGATGGTGCTTTACAAAAGAGTTGCTGAGCTGTTTGAAAGTAGTTAATATCCCACATCGGCGGTTCTTGGAGAATAAAGGGTAAAGAGAGTCTATAAAAGAAGATGGGTTTCAACAATTAAAAACTAACCCGTTTCGAGCTTCAAATGAGCTCAAAGTTGAGCTTGAATCGAGCTCAAAATTGAGCTTGAGTCTTGAGTTTTGGTTGAGCTCTTGATTTTTTTTTGAATTCGAGCCTTTTTGAGTTTGAGTCGACTTTTAATATTATTTTTTGAGTTTGAGTTGAGTTTAAAAATTTTAGGTTTGCGAGTTTTCAAGTCGAGTCGAGCTTATATATAAAGCTTTCGAGTTAGAGTCGAGTTTGGTAATACTCGAGCTCTACTTGGCTCGTTTACACCCCTAGGCCCAGCATTGAATTAGAGGGGATGCATGTGAATATACTGAAGGTGGAAATGGAAGTTTTTCTTCTTCTTTGCATGTGAAAATGGAAGAAAGGAAATTAAGGAAGGTTTTCTTTTTATTTAATCAAACTAAATCTATGCCATAATTTATAGAAATTACTCATTTTACTTATTTATTTTTAAATTACATTTATAATTAATGACATTATAAGAATTCTTTTTGAAATTAGTAGTTATTTAAGTAATTATTATTTTAACAAATCTAATAAACATTGATAAAGTAATAAAAAATATTTAACTAGCTTTTTACCATTAAAATTAAAACAATTATAGACATATATTTTAATTTTAGTTTAATTTTATATATACGAAATTAATATTGATTTCAATATGCAAATTTAAGAAATAAATACATCAATTATAATTGAATGTTGGATAAATACAAGCATTTGTATATATAATTTGTAAATTTAAAATAGTACAATATTAATAACCATAATAAAAAATTAAATTAAATTAAATTAAAATTTTCTATTGTGGGTCTTATCCTTATCTATGAAGCAATATAAAAGCATTGTTTATGCTTTTCGTCTGGACTTCTAAATATTATAGTTAAAATACTTAATTAATTTGGGAAAGTTTAAGGGTAATTTTTTTTAACAATGACAACTAAATTTTATTAATATAATGAATAAAAATTATATCACATCAGAATAAAGAGATAAATTTAGAGATAATAATCATCTAAATACTCAAACAAAAGTAAATAATAAACTTTAAAATACGAAGAAAATTAAAATATTCTATTTAGAATGATAACGAATATAAAAAATCATTAATCTTCATATAAACTCATTGTCTCTGTCAAATGAGATGCTTGAAGAAATTATAAAGGAGTTGAGAGCGAGTCAAATAATATAATAGGCTGCTTCGCTGCACAATTCTGATTATATTGACAAACAATCTTTTACTAAAAGAAGATCTGACTATACGTGACCATCGACTAATCTATCAGAAAATAAATGTTGTGATGATTTTTGTGCGAAAGCCAAAACAACTGCAAAAGTATGCGAAAAAACGTTTCGAAAAATATGAAGATTGTGTTATAAGAGCAGAGGAAACGCGTGCCACAAGGACATAGATGTTTATTCAAAATTTAAAAATTCAAGAAAAAATATAAAGACATAATATAAAAATAACAGAAGTAATATTCACCGACAATCGATAATCAATATTAAAATTATTGTCGCCGTCGATCAAACAAAAATCAAAGAAAAAAAAACGACACAAAATATTAAAAGAAAACTTAGATGCTACTAGTTTAAGAGTAATTTAAGACTAATAAATGATGAAAAATAGATATAATAAAAAATGTAATGAAAAATATAATATTTTGTTATAAAACATAACTTAAAATATTATTTTTTTAAATATTTTCATTTCATCACAATTTTTTAATCTTAAATTAGGCGGTTATACAGTAAAATTATCCTATCAATATCCATGTGATTTAGAAGTCAACTTTTCCTTTGAAAATTTTTAATCCAAGCCGAAAAAAACCTGTAAGTAAAGCCACACCCAAATGGTCACCCACTTTTCTAACTCGAATTTGTGTACGTGTCAATCTATTATTGGTCCTACTGAATCTGTGATGTCGCGTAATCCTATGTCGGTCCGCAAGCGAAGAGCACTAAACACGCAGCTCAGCTCAGCTGAACCCAAACAAAAACAACGGCAAATCGGCAATGAGTAACCGACCAACCAACAGTTAGCGTGAGTGATTCATATGCAAGCAAATTCAACGGCAGCCGTTGGATGAAATAGCAATCAATCACAATAACCAAATCGCGGAAAACACTGAGAACAAAAGCCAAACGCACCATCATTCATCACTGTGAAGAGAAAAAAACAAGCCAACGTAATAAACTGAGTGACTTTTTGTTGAAAGAATAGGAATCTGTATATCGAAGCAAGGCGGTGCGGCTAGCGGAGCCGTTGCGCAGAGGCTCTCGCAACCAGCTGCGCCACCTAACACCGCCACTACGGCAAACATCTGCGACAAGTCATCGCCTACAGACATGAAGGGCCTCTTCAAATCTAAGCCGCGAACTCCCGTTGACATCGTGCGGCAAACGCGTGATCTCCTCATCTATGCTGATCGCTCCCCCGATAGCCGTGAATCCAAGCGCGAAGAGAAGGTTCTCTTCATCAAGCACCTTTAATTTTGGCACATTAATTATTTCTATTTTTTTCTTTGTTGATCTGGCTGGACCATTTTTCCTCCTTTATTTTTGAAATCTAAATGTTTTCGAATTTTAGATCCGATATGAGTTCAATTAACTGGAGCTAGGGATTTTAGTTTCTATGGGAATTAAATGTATATCAATTTCTTTTTTGCGGCTAATATTCGGTGTGGATTTACAGAGCTTGAGAAGTTGATTGATCAACTGAAAGTAGCATAGCTTCTACGTCGAACTCTAATCCTAACATTTGATCGTAATTTTGATTCAGATGGCAGAATTATGTAAAAACATAAGGGAGTTGAAGTGTATTCTTTATGGAAATAGTGAATCCGAGCCAGTCTCTGAAGCTTGTGCGCAATTAACTCAGGAGTTCTTTAGAGAAAACACGCTACGACCCTTGATCACTTGTCTTCCTAAATTGAATTTAGAGGTAACAGTAACACCAATTGACTATTAGTTTATCCTAATCGTTGTTTCTACGATTATTTGACAAGTACCTTCCTTTACAGGCGAGGAAAGATGCAACTCAAGTTGTTGCAAATTTGCAAAGGCAGCAAGTGCAGTCGCGGTTGATTGCTTCTGATTATTTGGTGGCCAACATAGATCTTATGGATATTTTAATGGCAGGGTGAGTGGCAATCTGAAACGGTTTGTAGAATTTATGATTACTATTTCACCATTCTGATTCTTATATGTTGTTTCTCAGTTATGAGAACACAGACATGGCTTTACATTATGGTGCAATGTTAAGAGAATGCATACGTCATCAGACTGTTGCAAGGTAAGCATAGGGATCCAATTATTCCTTAAAGATTTAGCTTCTCATCCTTTTAGTGAATCTAATGGGCTAGCCCAAGTCATTCCTTCTGATGTTGCACTGAAGAGGCACTCTTGCCTGTTATTTTTTACCTTTGATTTATCTCCTTTTTGTAACAAATTTTCTCTTGATATATTGTTGTCTATATATGTCATGTTTGTCTGATTTACAGGTATGTTTTGGAATCTCAACACATGAAGAAGTTTTTTGACTATATACAACTTCCAAATTTCGACATTGCTGCTGATGCTGCTGCAACTTTTAAGGTTGAAATTTGGATACCGCTTGTTAAAGTTTAAACTACATTAAGATGATCTCTCCTACTCCCCTCCCCCAACCACCATCACCAATTTTTTGTCAGTGGAATCTAATTCAGAACTACTTTCTGTTTGCTGTAATTTTTAAAGTAGGGGCTAGATTTGCTTTGCAATTTTAACATCAAAAAAAGAAAAACATAGTTGTTTGATGTTGAGTCATTCCTGCCTTTCCTTCATCGAGTGCTTTACGTCGCTACTGCCTACTGCTACTGTCATGTAATATTTCATTTTTTTACAGGAGCTTCTGACAAGGCATAAGTCGACTGTAGCTGAATTTCTTTCCAAGAACTATGACTGGGTGAGTTCTACTCCTTTATTGTTGTCATCCTATAAATTATGAAGTTTTGATGTTAAATACTTATCATGGTAACTAAATAATTGGTTCAGCTCAGAAGTATCGGTATTTTTTTTCTCTCCCCGATTCTCTCAACCTTAAATTGTTTCAATTAGAATTATTTTATTTGCTCTGTCATGTTTGATTAGATAATTTTATCAAATGATTTTAAACTGTAATGATGGTACAATAGCTATATTAATAGTCTCTGAATTTCTTCTTCACGCCTCTATTTATGTTGAAAGTTTTCAGCGATTAGAGTTCAATAAACAGCTTGTTTTTGGTTTCAGTTTTTTGCAGAATATAACTCCAAGCTGCTAGAATCTATCAACTACATTACGAGAAGACAAGCTATTAAGGTATGACACTTGAGTTGAGAAAGAAACAGCATGCATTTAAGTGGTTCAATTTCAATCAAAATGAAAGCCAGGTGCTTTTAAACATGCTTGAGTTCGTATCAGTTAAAAGGATTCATTTTCTGATTTCAAGCTGAAAATACGAGTTTTGAGAAGGACATGGAGTAGAACATTTGTGTTACACTTCTAGGACCTGAAACATCAAGAATTTGTTTCGAGAAGTATCTCTAGAAGTGTTGCGTTAGATTTGATCACAACTCAATCCAATTGAAGTACCCTTTTTAAAATGTCAAAATTATGATAGCCCTTTTATTTTAAATTTGTCGAAATAAGATGTGGCAGTGTCACTTGCTGCTTAACTTTTTGTGTCTTAGAAGACATTTTATATCTTGTTTACTCTATTCTCTTCTTATGTTACAGTTATTGGGGGATATTTTGTTGGACCGCTCAAATTCAGCTGTGATGACCAGATATGTGAGCTCAAGGGATAATTTAAGGATTCTTATGAATCTTCTAAGGGTATGATACTTCCCCAGATTTCTTATTTGATGTTTGTTTTTTCGAATGTTATTTTTCTGATGTTTGATGTCTTGGTTGGTTTATTTTATTCTAGCAATATACTAAATACAACATGAAGCTTTAGTTGCCACTGACTATAGTCAAGAATGATAGGCCTATGTCTGGAAATATTGTTATTCATTTAGTTTAGGGTTGAAGTGTAGTACTGGACTATTGCTATCACCAGCACAGTAGCTGCAACCACAGATTTTCCTTGTTCAAGTATTAAAACACAGCTACAGAATTCAAACACTAAATAGTGAAATCCTTTTCTGCAGGAATCAAGCAAGAGCATCCAATTAGAAGCTTTTCATGTTTTCAAGGTGGCGTGTTAAATTCTTTTCCCTCTTGGGTCACTTAGATAGTAATATGAAACATTAAATGGCTCATCATTTTCTCTGGTTATATATCTGTGTTTCTACAGTTGTTTGCCGCAAATCAAAACAAGCCTCCAGATATTGTTAGCATACTGGTTGCAAATAAAAGCAAGCTTTTACGTTTGTTTGCTGATTTCAAACCTGATAAAGGTACACTACGGTAACAGAACCTTTTTCCATGTAAGTTTATATGTTTGACACTTTATTTATCTTTCCAGTTGAATGTCTTGCAGCGGACGAACAGTTTGAGGCAGACAAGGCTCAAGTTGTGAAAGAAATAGCCGCCCTTAATCTTTAAGACTGGCCTGGCATAGTTGGCTTTAATACATGATATTCTTGTTATTTCTGGTTTTAATGTTATTAAAACAGTTGATTGTGATTCATACAGCGTTGTTGTTGTCCTTTTAGGACCCGTGTGCAGTATTATACATATATGTAAAAGAGGTTCTTACTATAAAATATTTCTTCATCGTCATCGTTAATTCTAAGTGGTTTGGAATTGGATGGATGGGTACATTAGCGTCTTGTCTGTGGAAGGAAAAGGACTAATAGACTGGTTTCTTGGTTGCACATTGCCATATTCCATGGATCTTCTTAGCTCAAGACTAGAGTAGAATAACCTTCAAGTTTCCACATCACATTTGAATGTGAATCTTCAGCATTCGTCATAGATTCAAAGTATGTGTGAATATTAATCTTCATATTTATTATTTGATTTTGCATTACTTTGTACTTATTATTTGAATTCACAAATAATGAATACGAATATAGACATCTGAATTCATTGCCTTTTTTTCTTCTTAGATTTATTATTTTAATTTCTTTAACTTACTGATTTCAGTTGACCAAATAAAAAATATAACATGGTTTTGGCGATTTTCCTCAAAAATCACTGGTGATCGGTATATATATCGATCTAACACCGGTCAGATTATATTTTCTGATCTAACATCCGTAGCAGTAAAGCGCGCCCCCTGAATCGCGTTATATGCTGATTTGGCGCCACGTAGAGTATAGTGTGCCCCCTGTAACGCGTTATACGCTGACTGGGTTACACGTGGGGTATAGCGCGCCCCCTGCTCCGCGCTATACGCCGTACCAAAATTATATTTAACGCGGTTCCTGATCCGCGCTATATAGTAATTACATATAACGCGATACAGGTACCGCGCCTTATATGTTTATAAATACCGGTTCTCGCATCTCTCCTCTCTTATAAATTAATACAACAATTCCGTCAACGAGTAATAATTCTGGCAATCTTCTTATATTTGATTTAGAAGTTCGTGTGATTTTTCGTTATAAGGTAATTTCGTTATAATTTTTTTAATTATACTTATTGTTTATTATCATTATTTGAAAAAATATTATACTAATTATTTTTAATTAATTTTTATGTTTGTAAAATTGAAAAGCGGGAGCATACGTCGAAATAGTTTTGCGGTGCAGGTAATAATATAAAATTATATTATTTAAATTATTTACGTTGATGTGTAAAAAAAATTGTGTTATATTTTCGTTCATATATAATTTATTTAATCATGTTTGTTTAAGTTATTTTTTTTGCAGATATAAATATTGTCGTACTTTTAAACTCAAAGAATGGCGTGACTTTCAGCTATTGTTTATTATAATGGTGAAATTTGAGAAGATGAAACCGGCGTTGTTTTCGTATCAAATGAGCATGTTAAAATATCATTCAAGAGAAACATAACTCTTGAGGAGCTGATAACGAAGATTTCGAGGAAGATTCATGTTGGAAGTAACAGAAGAATGTCGTCGTTGCAGTACAGATTTCCAACATCATTGTTGCCATTAACTTATACAGCGTTCAAACTTTCGAACAATGATGATGTTCAAATGATGGTTGAAGCTCAAAGTAATTATTCAGACGCCGCTGTTGAGATGTATGCACATTTTGTTCAAGTGCGTGCTGTTCGGGGTCAATCTTTAAGCTCACACTATGGGCTGGCTGAACAAGTTAATCAAGTTGACAGCCCGACTACAGTAATGTGTAATGATTTTAATGCCATAATGGGGAGACATTCATCCGCAACTCCTTACGATATGTACCGAGGTGGGTCCAAGAACAATCCGTATGGAAACACCGCGTCCAGTTCAAGGGGAAGGCATTCATCTGCAAATTTCTTTGACCATATGGAGATGTCATCGACGCAACATTCTGTGCAGTTTTCATTTGACACGATGGCTTCAAGCTCCAGGGGGAGGCATTCGACTGCGAGCTTTTTCGATCTCAATGTCGATATGCCTTCCAGTTCAAGGGGAAGACGTGCAAGTAGTAGGTTCTTCGACCTAAATGTGGAGAGCATGGAGGAACAATCATCTCCACTAGAAGAACCACTTCATGAGCCTGGTGCGGATGGTGCTGAGACTGGACTATTCATTCACCCAGAATCACCGCAATTCAACTCCGATGATGATGAAGTTCCAGGAAATATGGCACAAACTGACCCTCCTGCACACATGTATGAAGCTGATTATGGTGCAATGTACGGGCCAGAATTTGCGGATATGCCTCATCTCGGTGACTATGGATATTACTCATCAATAAATAATGGTGAGTTATCTTTAGGCATGGAGTTTTCAAGCAAAGAAGAAGCGATGATGGCTATCAAAAATTACAATATCCGTAATTCTGTTCAGTCCAGAGTCAACCGATCGACGACCGAAAAATATGTATGCTACTGTGCCCGACACGAAAACGGATGCAATTGGATGGTTCGCGTATCGAAAATGAAGAGGAAAAACAATATATGGGAACTAACAATATACAACGGTCCTCACACATGTTGTACTGGAGGGGTCAACCAAGTTCATCCCAACTTGTACTCTGAAGTGATATGCCAAGCCATCATGCCCATGGTAAAAGCAAGATCTCATATAGTTGTTGCAGTGTTGATTTCAGCTATACAATCGTAGTATGGGTACACCGTCTCCTATAAAAAAGCTTGGTTGGCAAAACAAAATGCCATTGTTAAACTTCATGGCGAATGAGATACATCTTACAACAAACTTCCAGGTTGGTTTAGGTTGGTGCGGATGTTGAATCCTGGGACAATTGTGGACTTCGAAACCTCCTATGCATACCATAATGATCGAGTTCTTCGCGATCGATGCCAATTCTACCGAGTTTTTTAGAGCTACTCACAGTGCATTAATGCTGCCAAATACTACAAGCCTGTGGTCCAGATCGACGTGACTTTCTTGTATGGAAAATACAGGCAAGTTTTATTATTGACAGTTGTCTAAGATGGCAATCGCAACATTCTTCCAGTTGATTTTGCTCTTGTCGAAGGAGAAGATACATATTCTTGGGCTTTTTTCCTCCAAAATTTATGTGCATATGTTATCACGAGAGAAAAAATATGTGTCATTTCAGATCGCGGAGCTAGGATCAAAGCAGCAATGGAGTCTTTGGGTCCAATGTGGCAACCACCCTTTGTCCAACATAGGTATTGTAACATCCTCAATACCAGGTTAGTGACTAAATTGTAAAGTCTCAGAATTTGGTAGTTAAAATAAAATGAATGAATAATATAAAGATTTATATGTAAATTATTGTGTAGGATGGAATTGAAAGGAAGAAGGAATGGAAGGACAATAGAGTAATTGCAAGGAAAAATAATTAAAGAAAGGATAAGTATAGATATAAGGATACACGTGGGTGAAAGGGGAGAAAACACCCAAGGCTTCCAGAGTTCTCTTCTTCTTCTTTCTTCCTTGTGCGTGTGAACCAAAGCAAAGGTAAGATTTCTGATTATTGAGTTTCTTGTTAAATTTAATATTGAGTTTTGATTATTAGATGATAACTAAGCTTAAAGAAAGCTTAAGTTATCTTAACATCAAAGGATGATGGAGTTAGGAGAGATTTAAGATTAGAAGTTCTTAAATGAAATCTTGGAATAGAGTTCATAACTAGAATTGAAAGTTAAATTTGACTTTTCATCAATCTAGTTAAGATATACGAAGTGTTAAAAGTGGAATTCAAACATGTTGAATTATTGATGTAATTCTTGAATTTTATATGAAGGATATAATTGGAGGTTTAAGATGAAATAAATGAGTATAAATTGGTTTAAGGATGTGTACTATAGTTAAGAATGAAAAAGATGATTAAACATGAAGGATTTAATCCAAAATGAATGAATTTTGGGTTCAAAAGAGGATTCTGGGCAGAGTGCATCATGCATATTCATAGTGCATCGATGCATCAAGGTTAAAACCCAGAAAGTGTTTGAAGGTGTATCGATGCACTGGTAGTGCATCGATGCACTCTTTTAAAATAAAAAGATCAAATGCAATTAGTGCATCGATGCATCCCATTAATAATAAAACATCGAATGCATTTTATGCACCGATGCACAAGTAGTGCATCGATGTATACCTTCATTAAAAGAGGAAATTGGCATTTATCTTAATCTAAAGAGTGAACCATTAAGGTATATTAACTATAATACTGTTATAGATCCATGTGTGATTATGTAGATACTAAAAGTAAGCTTATTCCGGAACGATCAAAGGATTAGAATCGAATCAAAGCAAAGCTAAGGTGAGTGTATACTATATGTATAATATAATGGAAAAAGACTTGTGATAAGTCTAATTCCTATATTGATTTTCATAATACAATAGTTGTGAACATGCATACATGATAATTATTGTAATACATGCATAAGGCATATATATGTTCATGTGATTAGATAAATGATGTATATATATGAATAGATTCAAATACACATGTGATATGATATATGATATGAGAACATGACATGAGCTACATGATCACAAGAGAAATGACATGAAATGACATGAACTACATGATCACAAGAGAAATGACATAAGTACATGAACATATGAAATATAAGAATAATGCCCATAGTATACGATATGAGAGCTATAGGTGTAATTGGCATGCCAAGAGTCGAGGGTATAATAGTCCTTCGGGATGTAGTGGTTCTACGGGACATATATGACAGTCTTTCGGGACGAATACTGAACTAAGGTTCGGTGCCCTATGAGGGAATTGATACGAGCTGTGGTGACAGTATTAGTGCACAACCTCTATGTACTCACATACCTCTATTCTCAATAATATACATGGGCAATTGAAATACAAAGTAAAGTGAAAGTGGTACAAGAAGGTAAGTCTTGTACATGCATGATATGATTATATATGTTATTGTGTAATAGATACATGTATATTGAAATATCATGAAGGAAATGGTAAGAATGTATATTCTTGAAGATATTGTTGCATATTCATTTATTATCTCACTAAGTCTATGACTTAGCGTATAAGTGATTTACACGTAGGTACCAAGAAATAAGAAGATTCAGAATTGCAGTGGCACGGACAACAACATTACTAAGAAGTTAGATCAGAAGTAATTGACAAAGTATGTATTTTGTTGTGTAATAAGTGTTGGTATGTAATAAGTGGTTAATTACAAGTGC